AGATATTGCTGCTCGGGTAGAGAACCTGGCTGTGAAAGTACGCCACGTAGATGCTCATGTGCCCAAGAATCGGGCTACTGAAGAACATCAAAACAACCAGCAGGTGGATCAGGCTGCTAAGATTGAAGTAGCTCAGGTGGACCTGGATTGGCAGCATAAAGGTGAATTATTTGTAGCCCGATGGGCCCATGACACCTCAGGCCATCAAGGTAGAGACGCAACATACAGATGGGCTCGTGATCGAGGGTTGGACTTGACCATGGACGCTATAGCACAGGTTATTCATGACTGTGAAACATGTGCTGCAATCAAGCGAGCCAAACGGTCAAAGCCTCTTTGGTATGGAGGACGATGGCTGAAATATAAATATGGAGAGGCCTGGCAGATTGATTACATCACACTCCCTCAAACTCGCAATGGCAAGCGCCACGTACTTACAGTGGTGGAAGCAACCACCGGATGGCTGGAAACATATCCTGTGCCTCATGCCACCGCCCGGAACACCATCCTGGGCCTTGAAAAGCAAGTCCTATGGCGACATGGCACCCCAGAAAGAATAGAATCAGACAATGGGACTCACTTCCGAAACAACCTTATAGACACTTGGGCCAAAGAACATGGTATTGAATGGGTGTATCACATCCCCTATCATGCACCAGCCTCCGGGAAAGTTGAACGATACAATGGCCTGTTAAAGACTACCTTGAAAGCAATGGGCGCTGGGACGTTCAAAAACTGGGATACGCATTTGGCAAAGGCCACCTGGTTAGTCAATACTAGGGGATCTACCAACCGAGCTGGACCTGCCCAATCAAACCTGTTACGTACTGTAGATGGGGATAAAGTTCCTGTAGTGCATGTAAAAAATATGCTGGGTAAAACAGTCTGGGCTACTCCTGCCTCAGGAAAAGGCAAACCTATTCGTGGAATTGTTTTCGCTCAGGGACCTGGATACACTTGGTGGGTGATGCAAAAGAACGGAGAGGTCCGGTGTGTACCTCAAGGAGATTTAATACTGGGTGAGAATAGCCCATGAACTGAATTGTACCATGTTAAATAGTATATTATACTGTATGTTATCACTACCATGATTATTATAGGTGACTAATTAGAATGTATGGAAAAGAGTGTAACCTGAGCATGACATAAATGGTATGGAATAAGGGGTGGATAGATGTCCTGGTTTCAGTTAGAACAGAGTTAATTTTCTTCCTAGTAGCTGGTGGAATGCTGTGTTTTGGCTTAGGATGAGAAGAGTGCTGATAACACCCCGATGCTTTAATTGTTGCAGAGCAGTGCTTATACTAAGCCAAGGACATCTCAGCCTTTTGCTCTGTCCTGCCAACGGGCAGGCTGGGGGTGCAGTAAGAGCTGGGAGGGGACAGACCCAGGACAGGTGACCCAAACTAGCCAAAGGGGTATTCCATACCATCTGACGTCATGCTAAACAATATATAGGGGTGGCTAGCTGGGGGGAGGGGGCCGGACTGCTCGGGGTTAGGCTGGGCATCGGTCAGCGGGTGGTGAGCAATTGCATTGTGCATCACTTGTTTGTACATACTATTACTTTCGTATTATCACCATTGTATCATTATTATTATTATTGTTATTATTATTTTGTTATTATTATTTTCCTGTCTTATTAAACTGTCTTTCTCTCAACTCACGGGCTTCACTCTCCATTTCTCTCCCCCGTCCCAGAGAGGGAGGGGGGAGGGTGAGCGAACGGCTGCGTGGTGTTTAGCTGCCGGCCGGGTTAAACCACGACAGTGGGTCCCACAAGGTGGCAGGTCCTGCATGTACTCCTCTCCATGGCCTACAGGTCCAGCCTGGAGTCTGCTCCGGTGGGGTTTCTCCAGAGGCCACAGCCTCCTTCAGGGCAGATACACCTGCTCCACTGTGGGCTCCTCCACAAGCTGCAGTGTGGAAATCTGCTCCACCGTGGTACACCATGGGCTGCAGGGAGACAACCTGTTCCACCATGGTCCTCTCCAGAGGCCACAGGGGAACTTCTACTCTAGTGCCTGGAGAACCTCCTCTCCCTCCTTCTTCACTGACCTTGGCACCTGCAGGACTGTTTCTCACTCCTCTCTCTCCCAGCTGCTGTTTGTGCAGCAGTTTTTTCCCTTAAATATGCTTCCACAGAGGCGTAACCAATATTGCTTATTAATTCGTCTCTGGCCAGTGGCGGGTTCCTTTTGGAGCTGGCTGAAACTGGCTCTTGTCTAACATGGAGCAGCTTTTGGAATTTTCTCACAGAGGCCACACCTACAATCCTGTCCGCCCCCACCCCACCCCACCCCACCCCAATACCAAAACCTTGCTTCGTAAACCCACACCTACTAACCAATGCTTTATGAAAAGGGATGTGAATTGTTTAGTAAATGTGGATTAATAGCACCAGACACATGAGAAAGCATGCCAACATTTCATTTCAAGTATACAAATTGTTGGTTTTATGGCTAGTTCTTTCTTGTTCATGTAGGCTGGTTATAAATTTTATTAACTGTCAGTTTTTTTAGTTAAATGGAATCCAATGGTGTCATTATAAGACTTTATCCTGTAATTCAACTGGACATCACAGATTTAGACTATGTTAGAAAAACTTTAACGTGATGTAAATACTGTTGAAATCCTTTGTAAAACTTTAGCTGGTTTTAGTAGAAGCAGCATATCACCTAATACGAACGTATACAAGACAACCAAGGGATCAGGCCCAGCCAGCATGGCTTCATGAAAGACAAGTCATGCCTGACCAGCCTCATCTCCTTCTATGATCGGGTGACCCGCCTGGTGGATGAGGGAAAGGCTGTTGACGTAGTCTACCTAGACTTCAGTAAAGCCTTTGGCACAGTCTCCCATGGTATTCTTCTGGAAAAGCTAGGACTGGTACACTCTTTTCTGGGTTAAAAACTGTCTGGACAGCCTGGCCCAGAGAGTGGTGATGAATGGCATTAAATCCAGCTGGCGTCCGGTCACAAGTGGTGTTCCACTGCAGTTGGTGTTGGGGCCCATCCTCTTTAATATCTTTATTGATGATTTGGACCAGGGAATTGAGTGCACCCTCAGGAAGTTTTCAGATGACACCAAGTTGGGGGAAAGTGTTGATCTGATGGAGGACGGTAGGAAGGCCTTGCAGAGGGACCTGGACAGGCTGGATCAATGGGCAGAGACCAGTGGGATGAGGTTCAACGTGGCTAAGTGCCAGGTCCTGCACTTTGGCCACAACAACTCCATGCAACGCTACAGGCTGGGAGAGGAGTGGCTGGAAAGCCGTGCAGAGGAAAGAGATCTGGGGATGTTGGTAGACGCTTGCCTGAACATGAGCCGGCAGTGTACCCAGGTGGCCAAGAAGGCCAACAGCATTCTGGCTTGTATCAGCAATAGTGTAGCCAGTAGGACCAGGGAGCTGATCCTCCCCTTGTATTCTGCTCTGGTGAGACCACACCTCGAGTACTGTGTTCACTTTTGGGCCCCTCACTACAAGAATGACTTCGAGGCCCTGGAGTGTGTCCAGAGAAGGTCTACAAAGCTGGTGAAGGGTCTGGAACACAGGTCCTATGAGGAGCAGCTGAGGGAACTGGGGTTGTTTAGTCTGGAGAAGAGGAAGCTCAGGGGAGACTTTATTGCTCTCTACAACTATCTGAAAGGAGGTTATAGCGAGGTAGGTGTAAGCCTCTTCCCCCAGGTAACTAACAAGAGGGAATGGCCTCAAGTTACACCAGTTCGGGTTGGATATGAAGAGAAATTTCTTCTCAGAAAGAGTGATTAGGTGTTGGAACAGGTTGCCCAGCGAAGTGGTGGTATCACCGTCCCTGGAGGAAAGGGTGAAAAAGGCGGATGTGGTGCTTAGGGAAATGGTTTAGTGGCTGGTATTGGTGTTAGTGGGATGGTTGGACCAGATAACATTAGAGGTCTTTTCCAACCTTAAGGATTCTATGATTCTATGATCTCTCCTGTGAAGAAAGTAGCCAAGAAAGTCTTCAGTCTAAAGAAAGTAGCCAAGAAAGTCTTCAGTCTAAAGAGAAGGCTTGCACATGCAAGACAAATAGGTGCTCAGAAACAGCCAGCATGGCTTTACCAAGGGCAAATCGTGTCTGATAAGGGAAGATCAACCAATGTCATCTACACTGGACTTCTATAAGGCCTTTGACACAGTACCACGACATCCTGCTCTCCAAATTGGAGATACATGGATTCAATGGGTGGACCATTCAGTGGATAAGGAGTTGGCTTGAAGATCACACCCAGAGAATGGTGGTCAATGGCTCTACGTCCAAGTGGAGGCCAGTGACAATTGGTGTACCTCAGGGGTCTGTCCTCGGACCAGTACTGTTTAATATCTTTCTCAACAACATAGACAATGGGATCGAGTGTACACTCAGCAAATTTGCAGATGGCACCAAGCTGAGTGGTGCAGCTGATATAAGAGAAGGAGGGGATGCCATCCAAAGGGACCTGGACAAGCTTGAGAAGTGGGACAACTTGAAGCCAATGAGGTTCAACAGGTCTACGTGTAATGTACTGCACCTGGGCAGGGCGATCCCAGACAGGAGTACAGACTGGGAGAAGAACTTATTGAGAGCAGCCTTGCAGAGAAGGACCTGAGAGTTCTAGTGGATGAAAAGCTTGACGTGAGCCAGGAGTGCATGATTGCATCCCAGAAGGCCAACTGCATCCTGGGCTGCATCAAAAGAGAGGCGTGCCCAGCAGGTTGGGGGAGGTGATTTTCCCCCTCTCCTCTGCCCTTGTGAGGCCTCACTTGGAGTAGTGCATCTATTGTGAACAGGTGCCCCTCCCAGCTTTTGCTCCACTCCTTTTATAGAATTTATGTTAATATATGCTTTCAGAATTTTAGCTGTGATTGAATTAGAAGAAAACTGTTCTCTAGTTGCCAGTTTATCTCACACTGATATTTATCTACAATATTGGCAGTTTCGATTATGAGTAGCCTTTAAAAAATCAATTTATTTTTTTTTACAATTATTACTTTTTTTCAGGCAATAATAAATAGCACTGTCACCCCCAACATGACATTTACTAAAACATCCCAGAAGTTTGGCCAATGGGCAGACAGCAGGGCGAATACAGTCTATGGCTTGGGATTTTCATCTGAACATCATCTTGCAAAAGTAAGTATGACCAATGGAAACCATGTGACCAGTGAAGTGACTTAAGAATATTGTTTTCCTTCTGGTTGTATCTTGATTCAATTCTTACCACCGCTATTTACAAATAATAATAATAATAATAATTATAATAATAATAAAAGGCTGTATCTATTCTTATAATATAACAAGACAAGATAAGGTATGATCACAATATGCTTTTAACAGTGATACCTATAAATTTTCTTTTAACTGATTGAGGAAAGAAGGGAGATTTAAACTAGCGTATGCTGTTAATGCTTTCTAATTATTCATCTGCTAGGCTTCTCTTTTTAAATTTGTTCTTTCATTAGAGTTTGCCATGATAGAATATAAAGAAGTAGACATTCCAGTGTTTCTTCTGTATTTAGACCTAGAAAAGATGTTGAGTCTTCAGATGCATTTTTGTTTTAAGCCACATTCACTTTAACTTCTCTGCTATGTTTTGCTAAACAAAAAAACACACTACCACCCCCCAAACACACACACAAACACACATACCAACCCTGTTGAGAAAGTAATTGTCACTATACAAGGATAAGTTGTTCTCAAACTGATGTCTAAGAGTTTTTAATATAACCTTGGCTTAAAACTTTATATTTCTGGCTTAAAACTTTATATTTCTGTTATAAAAATCTGAAAAGCTACAGTAGATAATTTGTCAAAAGTACGTTTGATTAGCAGTTACTCAGATTGCTGTGATTTGTGAAGAATACACAAATCTGTTGAGAAAAATATCAATCCACAGATCTTTTCAAAAGATTATAGCGATGAATCCTCAGGGCAAACCATTCCTATAGCATTATATGTTAATTATCAAACTGTGATTTTCACGTGAGTTAAAATTGCTGATAATTGCTACTAAAATTCATAGAGGTGAAAGGAGTTAGGTATATTGTTCTTGGAATCAGAGATGCTGAATTAGAAACCATGAATCTTCTGTGTATCTTTAGAGAAATCATATCAATCTCCTCTTGTCTGTCTGCTCAGATTACTAGCTCTTCTGTGCACTGGCATTGTAATCAGGTTCACCAGAGCACTTTTTGACACACCTACTACTGTAGGACATTAAATGTAATTTAGTGCTCAAGGTACTACTGAATGTTAGCAATAGTACTGACAAATAAACTGTATTAATGTATTTATTCAGAAACCAGTTGCTTCTAGAAGTTGTCTTAAAACTTGATTCTGGAACTTTTTTTTTTCTTCTGTATTTGATTTATCAGAGTCCCTAAGTGAACAATACTATTATATGTAATTTGTTTTGGAGTAGTCTCTGGGCCCCAATGAAATATTTCAAGTTCCAGGGAGCAAAAGACAACCTACAATCACAAAAAAAAAACTTAGTCTAGTGTGTGACTGATTTCAACAGGCTAATGAAGCAAATAATCAGGGCAGAGAGAATAAAAGTAATGTCTTCTAATAAACTATTTATTCTCATATCATTGTTTGCTTAGCTATATCGCTCTAAACAAGCAGATGATTTCCAAAGTTTATACTAAGTGTTTGACTTTTGGACTGTTTTTTTTGTTTTTTTTTTGGTTCATGTGCCTTTGTCTTCATTAACTGATTAGTAGGGTAGCATGCAACAGTGGTTCTGTATGACAATTCTGTGTGACTGTGAGAATTTGAGAAGTGAGAATATCCAACTAAAGAATTAAGGCACTGTAAACAACTTTTTATATGCAAACAGAATAAAAGAAAAATAATTAAACATTTGTTTATCTTCATTAGAGCTTTTCTCAATATGTCAGACCACAAATTCACCTCAAGATTGTTCCATCAGGAAACAGGCAGAAGTCAGTGATACCTAAATGATGATTCCTACCTTGAAGAGTATTCCTTTCACAGGATTAGGATTTCCTAGCACAGTCCCTCTTGCTGCTGTAGTAGGAGGAACAGAATGTTCCATAATATTCAGAGAAAACTGAGTCCAGTTTCTCAACTAGAATATAAGTCTGTGCTTCCCCTATATGGGAAGAAGTGTTCCTTCTCAAGTTTGCTGCCTTATCCCTTTAGTTAGTTAACCTGATTTATTCTGAATAACTTAAGAGCATGCTAAATGCCGAAAGTGCCATCACAGGTACTTGTGAGATCCTTGTATTCTCCTTCCACAACTTTTCATCTTTTCCTTATATTATTAATCCCCCAGAGAACCTTTCTTTTCATACTATGAGATCTCATCTTTGTTATTTAGGACTTATATATCAAAATATTGCTATTATCTATCACCTGACTGTCTCAAGGAATTCTAGTAAATTTGTAAAAAATCCCTCTACATTAGTATCATTGGCTCTTTCTCAGAATGTTATCTGGTTTTCTGTCTATTCATTATATATCTTTTTTACAGTCTCTACCACTCTGATACAGAAGATCATATTTACTGCCTTGTATTTCTTCAGCTATTTATTCCAAACCTTAGCATCATGCTTTCCACTTACCAATCCTCTGCTCCTCAAGTCAATTTAAATAATAGGTTACCCATGAGAATTTGAGGTCTATCTACAAGTCTTAAATGAGTATCATATAGTTCTGGTGATCTGTTGCCAATTTTATCATCTGTTCTGAGACCTTTTTTGATGCTGGATTACTGTTTCAGCACAATATCTATTATTTCCTTCTATATTCAGGAAACATATGCTTTTAAATAATTTGACAGCTGAAATATAGGATACTGGTGGAGAAAAATAATACTTCCTTAAGTACTAAGAGCATACCAGGAGAAGAAGTTTAAAGACAATAAGGTTTTTTACATCTTGGATAGCAAGTGAAGTTCTAATTGAAATTAGTTGAGATTTTGTCACACAAAAGTAACCTTCATACCTCCTGCACGCAGTGAAAAACAATATCTTTGCTGCTGCTGGAGAAATTTAGAAGCTATTGGTGAAGTTTCCAGTTTTTGCAGAATCGTTTTAGTCTTTAGTCTTATAGTGGTATAAGGTCATATTCTGTATAAAAGCAATAGCTAGTTAAAACAAATGCTTGGCTACTACAGCAATTGGTGTAATGTAAAGCTGAGAGCAATGAAGACAAATTTTTCTCCAGCCAGAGAATTTAGGCCCAATTCTTAATAAAGTGGTTTAATTTCTCAAGCTCAAGGCTGCATGCATTTCAAAATTGCTGCTTTAGCTATTTTCTAGAAGAGGTATATGTAGCAGAGAAATCAGTCTTCACAAACTTCACAGTTCAATGTGCAATTCTTGAATTTAGTGTTCAGTATATGTGAGTGTTCAGTTCAATTAATCTGTTCTTTAGCTTGATTGATGTCAATGGGGTTACATCAAGAAATGAACTTGACTTAGTATTCCCACTGTGTCGTGGTTCCGCTCGAGTGGGCAGCCGAGCTCCACCACAGCCCCTCTCTCACTCCCCCTCCTCAAAGAGGAATGGGGAGAAAATATGTGAAAGGGGCTCAAGGATTGAGATAAGGACGAGAAAATCACGCAATAATTAGTGTAACAGGCAAACCAGACTCAGCATAAGAAGACAGATAGTAAGATTTATTGCTCATTACTAACAAGCTAGAGAAGTGAGAAACAAAGGAAAGAAACCAAAAGCACCTTCCCCCCCCCATCCACCCTCTTCCACCTCCTCCCCCGCCGAGTGGCGCAGGGAAACGGGGGAATGGGGGTTATGGTCAGTCTACAGCACTTCTTCTCTGCCGCTCCTTCTCGGTCACTCTCGTCCCCTGTGCTGTGGGGTCCCACCCAAGGGATGCAGTCCTTGATGAACTGATCCGGCGTGGGCTTCCCACAGGCAGCAGCTCTTCCAGAACTGCTCCAGATATGGGTCCGTACCACGGGGTCCATCCCTCAGGAGAAAACTGCTCCAACCTGGCTCCTCTACGGGCAGCAGCTCCTGCCAGGTCACCTGCTCCTGCGTGGTCTCCTCTCCACGGGCTACAGGTCCGGCCCGGAATCTGCTCCGGCAAGGGTCTTCCACAGGCGGCAGCCTCCGTCGGTGCAGGGCCACCTGCTCCACCGTGGTCTCCTCCACGGGCTGCAGCGTGGAACCCTGCTCCACCGTGGTACTCCATGGGCTGCAGGGGGACATCCTGCTTCACCATGGTCCTCACCACAGGCCGCAGGGGACTTCTGCTCCGGTGCCTGGAGCACCTCTCCCCCTCCTTCTACACTGACCTTGGCACCTGCAAGGCTGTTTCTCACTCCCTTGACTCTCCCGGCTGCTGTGTGGCGCAGTGTTTTTTTCCCCTGTCTTAAATATGCTCTCACAGAGGCGCAAAACAACATCGCTTATTGGCTCAGCTCTGGAAAACAATGGGGCCCTTCCCAAACATGGGGCAGCTTCTAGATCTTTCTCACAGAAACCACCCCTATGGCTCCCTGATTCCAAAACCTTGCCACGTAAACCCACTACACACTGCTATTTTCTTAGTTAGCTATTTAAATTATAAATTCAGTTAAAATTTGGGAAGAAATTAGTATCGTTTCAATCATGAAAGAATGAAGCCTGTTAAAGTCTCTAGGCTAATAATGACTACAGTAAGCTTCAGAACCAGATCATTTATTGTAAGGAAGAGAGTAAGACCTGAATTTGAAAGCAGCTGTGTAAGGCAGTTTATCACTGTTTTTTGGTTTAACCTTGGTAGGCAGCTAAGCACCACACAGATGCTCTCTCACTCCCCCCTCCTCATCAGGATGAAGGCGGGGGAGAAAATAAGATGGAGAGAAACTTGCAGATCTGAGATATAAGTAATTTAAAGAAAGAAAAGAAAAGGCCATGCATGGAAGGAAAAGAAAAAAAAATCTATACTCCCTATCAGCAAATGATGTCCAGCCAATTCCTGGAAGCAGGGCCCCAATAAGCATGATGTCATATGGTATGGAATATCCCCTTGGTCAATTTAGGTCAGCTGCCCCAGCTATGTCCCCTCCCCACCTCTTGCCCACCCCCAACTTACTGGCCTTTGGGGGTGGGAGGTTAGAGAGACAGATAAGATGCTATGCAATCACTGTTCAACAATAGGCAAAACATTGGTGCGATATCAACACTGCTATAGCTACAAATGCAAAGCACAGCATTATATGCTCTGCTGTGGGGAAAGTTAACTCCATTCCAACCAGACCCAGTACAATTAACCATATCTGAGGTGTTGGTTTTGTTTTAAATGCTATCACCAACAGGTTAAACTTTGCTGCATCATAATTTTCCTGTCATAAACAGAGTACATTATGTCTGAAAGGTACTGAAAGGTATGTCACTGTGTATCTCACTTAAATAAGTATCTAATAAGGAGAAAAAAATAAAAATTCTACCGACAATTTAGCTTCATGTTACGTACAGCATTTTTTTCTGCATGTGGTATAACTACTTCACGCCTTCTCTCTTTTTTTTAAACATATGTACTTTCAGTTTGCAGAAAAATTTCAGGAATTCAAAGAAGCTGCACGACTAGCAAAGGAAAAATCCCAAGAAAAGATGGAGCTAACAAGTACACCCTCTCAAGTGAGTCTTATTCTCTGATTCAAGCCTAGTACTTCATGTTTTGTGCTACTTTCTGTTTTAAGAATTCATATGGTATCTTACACACATGTATTAAAAATGAACAGGGTACTTCCCAGTTAACCTGATTCCTCTAAACAGTCAGCTAGAAGTGTCAAGAAATCTAAGAGGGTAACAAAGATTGTGAAGGGTCTAGAGGGGAAGATGTATGAGGAGTGGCTGAGGTCACTTGGCTTGTTCAGCTTAGAGAAGAGAAGGCTGAAGGGAGACTTCATAGTGGTATAAAGCTTCCTCACCAGGGGGAGCAAAGGGGGAAGCACTGATCTCTTTGGTGAACAGGGACAAGACCCGAGGGAACGGCTTGAAGCTGCAACAGTGGAGGGTCAGGCTGGATATCAGGAAAAGGTTCTTCACTGAGTGTCGTGGTTTAACCCGGCCGGCAGCTAAACACCACGCAGCCGTTCGCTCACCCTCCCCCCTCCCTCTCTGGGACGGGGGAGAGAAATGGAAAGTGAAGCCCGTGAGTTGAGAGAAAGACAGTTTAATAAGACAGGAAAATAATAATAATAATAATAATAATAATAATAATAATAATAATAATAATAATAATAATAATAATAATAATACAATGGTGATAATAGGAAAGTAATAATATGTACAAACAAGTGATGCACAATGCAATTGCTCACCACCCACTGACTGATGCCCAGACTAACCCCGAGCAGTCCGGCCCACCTCCCCCGGCTAGCCACCCCTATATATTGTTTAGCATGACGTCAGATGGTATGGAATACCCCTTTGACTAGTTTGGGTCACCTGTCCTGGGTCTGTCCCCTCCCAGCTCCTGCTGCACCCCCAGCCTGCCTGTTGGCAGGACAGAGCAAGAAGCTGAGATGTCCTTGTCTTGGTGTAAGCACTGCTCTGCAACAATTAAAACATCGGGGTGTTATCAGCACTCTTCTCATCCTAAGCCAAAACATAGTATTCTACCAGCTACTAGGAAGAAAATTAACTCTGTTCTAACTGAAACCAGGACAGTAGGATTAATACAACTGATTCTTTTGATTCTTTTTTTTTTTCTTTTCTTCTAGGGAATACATCTTTATGCATTGAATCAGTGCATTTCTTTTGTGCTTTGCACCACGATATACTTCTGATCTTTGATAGAACAAGGATGGCAGGACGTTTACAACATGCTGTATGAATAGGTTTATTGCCACTAGAAAGCTATGTCCTTCTAAGACAAGTCAGTGGAACAAGGACAAAAATATACACAATGAACCAATCTCATGTTGTTTTCCCTGGCAGGAATTTTTGCCAAAGTGCTAGGCTGGCTTTTGGTATTAAAGGGAAGCTGCTTGCTCTAGCATAAGAAGAAAAAAACAAGGTTGTCTTTTTTATTAGTTTTCTTGACTGTCCCTGAATTTCTGAAAAATTCCATAAATAAACTCATAAATAAGAGAAATATGTATTTCAGTATTGTAACCTAGAATATATTTGGCTTTATGTGCAGTAAAGTACTTCAGCCAGGCCTCTAGTTAGATAGAGGTGGGGAGAAGAATCCTGGAATGCAACTTCCTGGTCCAGGTATTAGACAAACCAACCAAAGAAGAAGCATTACTGGACCTGGTGTTCACCAATGCAGATTAACTCATTGAAGAGGTTAAGATTGGAGGCAGACTGGGCTGCAGTGACCATGCCCTGGTTTAGCTTCCGATCTCAAGGGATATGGGCAAAGAGTGAAGTCAGGACCCTGAACTTCTGAAGAGCAAACTTCCAGCTGTTTAAAGACCTAACAGATGAGATCCCATGGAACACTGTCCTTAGGGACAAAGGAGCTGATCAGAGCTGTCAACTATTTAAAGACACTTTTATTAGCGTGCAAGAGCGCTACATCCCCATGGGTAAGAAATCAAGCAGGGAAGACAGGAAACCGGCATGGCTGAGCAAGGACCTGCTCGTCAAATTGAGGCACAAGAAGGAAATGCATAGGCAGTGGAAGAAGGGACATGTGGCCTGGGAAGGGTACAGGGATGCAGTCTGGATGTGCAGGGATGGGATAAGGAAAGCCAAGTCACAGATGAAACTAAACTTGGCAAGGCATGCAAAAAATAACAGGAAGGGATTCTATAGGTACATTGGTCAGAAAAGAAAGGCCAAGGAGAGCGTACCCCCTCTGACGGATGAGAAGGGTGAACTGGTAATGACAGACATGGAGAAGGCTGAGGTATTCACCAACTTCTTTGCCTCAGTCTTCACTGCCAGTCAGGCTTCCCACGTCTCTTGAGTCCCTGAACCTCGAAGCAGGGCCTGGGAGAGCAAAGTCTCTCCCACAGTAAGTGAAGAGCAGGTTTGAGACCACATAATGAAACTGAACATGCATAAGTCTATGAGGCCCGATGACATGCATCCCAGTGTCCTGAGGGAACTGGCTGATGTAGTTGACAAGCCACTCTCCGTCGTATTTGAATAGTCATGGCAGTCAGGCAAAGTCCCTGGTGACTAGAAAAAGTGAAACATCACTCCCATTCTTAAAAAGGGCAGAAAGGAAGACCTGGAGAGCTACAGACAGGTGAGCCTCACCCCTGTTCCTGGGAAGATCATGGAACAGATCCTTCTGGAAGCAATGTCAGAGCACATGCAAATCAAAGAGGTGATCCGAGACAGCCAGCACGGCTTCAGCAAGGGTAAATCGTGCCTGACCAATTTGTGGCCTTCTATTATGGAGTGACTGCATCGGTCCATAAGGGAAGATCAACCGATGTCATCTACCTGGACTTCTGTAAGGCCTTTGACACAGTCCCACATGACATCCTGGTCTCCAAATTGGAGCAATGTGGATTTGAAGGATGGATCATTCAGTGGATAAGGAATTGCCTGGATGTCGTTACACAGAGAGCTGTGGTCAAGGGGGTCCAGGTGGTAGCTGGTGATGAGTGGTATCCCTCAGGGGTCCATCTTGGGACCAGTACTGTTTAATATTGTTATTAACAACATAAGCAGTTGCAGATGACTCCAAGCTGAGTGGTGCAGTTAATACAAGAGAAGGAAGGGATGCCATCCAAAGGGACTTGGACAAGCTAGAAAAGTGGGCCCATGTGAACCTAATGAGGTTCAACAAATCAAAGTGCAAGGTGCTACACCTGGGTCAGGGCAATCCCAGACATGAGTACAGACTGGGAGAAGAACTCATTGAGAGAAGCCCTGCAGAGAAAGACTTTGGAGGTTCTAGTGGATGAAAAGCTCAGCTTCAGCCAGCAGAGTGCGCTTGCATCCCAGAAGGCCAGCTGCATCCTGGGCTGCATCAACAGAGGAGTGGCCAGAAGGTCGAGGGAGGTGATTGTCCCCCTCTACTCTGTCCTTGTGAGGCCCCACCTGGAGTATTTCATCGAGGTGTGGGGTCCCCAGCACAAGAAATATGTTGACCTGTTAGAACTGGTCCAGAGGAGGGCAGTGAAGAGGATTAGCGGGCTGGAGAACCTCTCCTATGAAGAAAGGCTGAGAAAGCTGGGGTTGTTCACCCTAGAGAAAAGAAGGCTCTGGGGAGACCTTATTGCGACCTTTCAGTATTTTAAGGGGGCTTATAAAAAAGATGGAGAGCAACTTTTTGCTCGGGCAGATAATAACAGGACATGGGGTAATGTTTTTTTAATTTGAAGACATGAGATTTAGATTAGAAGTTAGAAGGAAATTCTTCACTGTGAGGGTGGTGAGGCGCTGGAACAGGTTGTCCAGATAGGCTGTGGATGCCCCATCCCTGGAGGTGTTCAAGACTGGTTGGATGGGGCCCTGGGGCACCTGATCCAGTGGGTGGCATTGTTGCCCATGGCAGGGGGACTGGAACTAGATGATCTTTAACGTTCCTTCCAACCAAGCCACTCATCGTTTCCATGTTTCTGTGTTCATAGGGAAAGCAATTGCTGTGCTTCTCTTTTGACATGCTGTTTAAAAATCAGGATTTAAATTTGACACTGTCAAATGGAGTAACTTATTATTTGTTTTGGACAGAATTACTCAGAGACAAGATACTTTTATTTAACAGTTGCCCAGGGTTAAAACTTTCTCTTAATCTATATGAGCTATTGATATTGTTAACTTTCCTGTATAGATTTTGCCTTTGGAGCCCTATATTTTATATTGTAGGCAGCTATAGAAATTTTATCTTGAGGAGTTCTAGACTGCATGTTGAAAGTTGCATTTTAATTACTACATACTTGGGAATAATTTCATATTCAGCCCTTACTTTTCATTTTGTCTTTTAGCTGTGTTGATAAGTTAGTATATTGTTCTGAAAGATACAGTTAGTGCAAGTGCTGACACATCAGCATAATATGTTTTGACCCAAGTGCAGCACCCAGTACTGTTGAGGGATTTTTGAAACAGCAAGGAGGCCATGACTTGCTGCAGCTGAGCAAACCAAGCTACCAGGACAACTACAAGAAGTTCCCATGACAATGTTCCCACATCGCCCGGTTGAGGAATTTAAAAAATATTGTTGCCAGCAGCTGGCTTCAAGGACAAGATCTATGTGACTGCTAATCACAAGGAGGTTGTTTTCTTGCAGGTGGGGTTGTTTTCTTGCAGTTGTTTGTCTGAGTGCTTTTGACCGATAATCTTGTGTGAGACACTATCCACCCCTGTTAAGTTTTCTATAAAAGTCAGGCTATTTGGGTAATAAAGAGAGAGCATGATCTGACCATACTGGTGTCTGTTGTGTTTTCGGCCGTTCTTTCTGCAACAAATGGTGCCCGAACAGGCTGAGACCCAGCGAGACACGGAGAGACGCTGATAGACCTGAGAGACGCTAAGAAACCTGAGATGCTGAGAAACGCTGAGAGACCTGAGACGCAGGGAGACTAGGAACAGAGATGCGGTAATAACGCGGGATGCTGAGAGACTCGGAGCACAGACCCGGACAGACGCGGTGAGACGCGCAGAAGAGTTGTGGTGAGACGCGCAGACAAGTCGCGGTGAGACACGGAATAGTGAAGTATCGCGGTGAGACGCGGGACATCCGGGGCCAAGTTGCTACGAGAGATCGGAGGCGTCCATGAAAACGGCAGACGACCGCCACCGTTTGACAAGTTGGCACATAGCAGAGGGGTGGAGATCATGACTCTGCAGCTCTTCTGACATAACCATGGAGGAGGAATCACAGAATCACAGAATTTCTAGGTTGGAAGAGACCTCAAGATCATCGAGTCCAACCTCTGACCTAACGCTAACAGTCCCCACTAAACCATATCCCTAAGCTCTACATCTAAACGTCTTTTAAAGACTTCCAGGGATGGTGACTCCTATCCAGCTTCTCTCTAGTATTCTCTCTAAGACAGGTGTATCTTGCAATGTAAAAAAGATCAAATCCTTGGTGCACTGGGCTCAGAAGGAGGGTTTTCTGAAGGAAGTCCCTCTAATGTTTAGAGTGGTGGCACGTAGGAAATAAAAGATAAAGCCATCTAAAGTGGAAAGCTAGATAAAGATGTAAGTTGGACGTGGCACACAGTTATTAATGCTCTGTGCAGTATGAAAACTGAACAGCAGCTCGCTATGGCGGCAGCACAAGCTTTGTCAGTACCATCTGGGATTGACAGAATGCCGAGTACAAAACCTGAGACCTCGGGAACACGGCTGGCACGATCTTTTTCATTGGTTCCTGTACCCACCCCGGTTCGGTGTATGACCTCTCCAATAAAGGAATCAGCGGCAGAAATAACTAACGGACTATCGGAGCAGAGTGCTGATGGGGAGTGGGGGTTGCCCTCCACAATCCCCACACCAGAAAATCTTGATAAAGCTGTGCTGCCAGCATCTATGCCACTGCCAGGCAGCAATAAATCCACTCGGGATGCTTCGCCAATGAGAGGTGCATCAGCAGCTTGCAAAAATCAACCTTCACTGGAGGACTTGTTCCAAGAACTGCTAGTAAAATTGGAGAACTTAAAAATTAAGGATTCGGAAGAGCCTCCTCTCTCGTCTGCCCCACCGGAGTCGACTCCCTCATTATCCGTCGCTACAACACCATCGGCACCAAGGAGGGACAGGTGCTCCAATGTCATATGTGATGCCATCATAGAGGGGCATAGGCATGCTACATCCTTGGCCTGCCCTATTATTATCCACCCTGTGCAAGGCAGCGGGTTGTGGCAGCCGCATGACTGCAAGCTTTTACAACAAGCTCAAAAAATGGTTATGGACTACGGTTTACGATCCCAGGCGGCTCGACAGAAAATTCAATGGATTTTCCAGGCAGAACTAATGTGTCCACTTGACAGTCAAAACTTGGCGCGCTTATTGTTAACTCCTTCCCCATTGTTATTATTTGAAAGGGAATGGTTGCGGTTAGCACAGGGGGAAGCGGGTTGACTGTGTCAACCGGGGGACCCTCTGTATGGGATTACTGCAGAGATGTTAACGGGGACGGGTCCTTATCTCAATACCCAGGTTCAGCTGCAGATCCCTGCGATTATTCACCAAACAGCTGCACAGCTCGCACTGAGGGCTCTTCTTAGTCTCCCAGGGGGAAAGAAAGCACCTCCATTCGCATCAGTAGAACAGGCCCCTGGGGAACCATATGCTAAATTTATCGATCGGTTGTGGGTAGCAATTCCTGATCATCCTGATCTAACAGCGGAGTCTAAAAGCAGTGTGTTTAAAATGCTTGCGTATGACAATGCAAACCCAAAAACTCAAAACATCTTAGTTACACTGCAGAGAACCCCACCAGTAGAGGACGTATTGGAAAGGGTATAGAGAGCTGATCAGTCCAGGCAACCAGATGTGGTGGCACAGGCTGTAAAGGACTGTCAGAGACTTGCTCTTATGGTACCCTCCATTAACAAACAAGCCCCGGCAAAGTTCTATGAATGGCTAGTGCTTCCGCAGGAAATGAAGAATTCTCCTACATTATGTCAATTATATGTGGCCTGGGCATTAGAACCAATTCGGATAGTGTGTTGTGACGTAATCATTTACCATTATATGGATAACATTTGGTTTGGTAGGCCAGAATGCTTCCAGGATTCTGATTCAAACTTTATTCAGGATACACTGGAAGCAAAAGGGTTGAAGATAGCCCCAGAGAAGGTTCAACGGAAACAGCCATGGCTACACTTGGGATGGAACATATCAGACTCTACCATTTGTCCACAGAAAGTTGATATAACTACGGTGTTACGTAATTTGACAGATGTACAAATTTTCCTGGGTAATATTCAGTGGGGTTGCCACATTGTACGGATTACTAATGATGACTTAGCTATATTACTACCTTTATTGCAGGGCAGGAGTGCAGAGCTGCAGATTACACTAACAAATGACCACCGGCAGTCTCCTTCACAAATAGCTTCTAAGGTTGCAGCTGGCTCTGCTTACAGATGTATAGCAGAAGGTGCACTCTCCTTACTGGTAAGCAATCACGTGTCTCATCCATTTGCGGTGCTTGGTCAGTGGCAAAAAGAAAAGGGGGAGAGTAAGGGGGCGACAAAGACAGAAACAGTATCAGGAGGATGCCACTGACATTAACAGCACTAGGAATAGAATCGCATAAATGCAACAGGTGATAGCAAGGGTGGAATGAGAGGGCAGCATTTTCGAGTCCTGAAATGGATTTTCCTACCAATTCAGCCAAAAATGAGTGTTCAAACACGGGCGGAAGCTCTCGCAGAGTTAGTACGTGAGGGTCGCTCTCGGAGTATTGAGATCAGCGGGCAGGAACCAGGAGATATTAGTCTGCCGATAACTCAGGATCATTTGGAATGGTGTTTACAGCAATCCATACCACTACAAGAAGCTGTGTTAGATTACCTGGGATTGGTACATTCCCGAACTCCAAAGGGGCCTCTCTGGCAAGTTATAAGATCATATAAATGGCAGGTAGTACCATGGCTTTCATCCCGACCAGTGGACCAGTGGTGGGTCGCACTGTATACACTGATGCAGGTGCAGCAAGTAGGAAGGCTGTGTGTGTGTGGTACAAGAATAGAAGTTGGGAGAAATACATAATTCCCGGGGAGACAGGGGATTCATTACAAACATTGGCATTGTCTGCAGTTGTTTGGGCTTGTCAATGCTGGATGCATGAGCTGATTAATATCATCTCAGGCTCTCTGTATGTTGTCAACGTGGTAAACCAGATAGAGGATGCCTTGATACGGCAAACTAAGAGGGACAGATTGTTGTCATTATTTCTGCAGCTGCGAGATGCCATTCAGGGGAGAACTGCACCTTACTGTGTTATCCATACACGTAGTCATCAGTTCTCGATTGGGTTAGCAGAAGGTAATTGACAAGCAGACAAGTTGGTTAGTATAGTCACAGAGGGGCCTGAGAGTGATTTTCCACATGCGCGAGTGTCGCACGAAATGTTCCATCAGAATGCAAAGGGTCTTCGGAGAATGCTTGGATTTACTTGGACAGAGGCGAAAGGAATAGTAAGAGTGTGCCCTTCCTGTAGTCGTCATGGACCAGGGTTAGGTTTGGGTATTAATCCACTGGGTGTTAAGGCACTTGAGGTATGGCAAATGGATGTAACGCATGTACTGGAATTTGGTACTAAAAGATATGTGCATGTGAGCATTGATACTTTTTCAAGATTCATATGGGCAGCGGCGCAGGGGGGAAAAAAAGCACACCTTGTGTGTAGACACCTTGTGTATAGACATCTGATGGTGTGTTTTGCTGTTATGGGAGTGCCACAGCAGATCAAGATGGACAATGGTCCAGCATGTGTTAGCAAAAGGGTTAGAAAATTTATGAAAATGTGGGGAGTAAAGCATATCACAGGTGTTCCATATTCTCCCACGGGCCAAGTGATGGTCGAACGATCACATCAGGTTTTAAAGGAACAATTAGCAAGATTAAAAGAGATCAAGGACATCGATGAGCGATTGTCCAAGGCATTGTTTGTCTTGAATCACTTATGTTTGACTGGTGACCGAGAAGACCCTCCTGCGAGCATTCATTTTCAAACAATAAATAGAGCAGCACCAAATGTGTTACCACAAATAAGAGTGAATTACCGAGATCCTGCTACAGGAACTTGGAAAGGGCCATATGGGTACAGAAAAACACCTGTGGTTACAATGACACTGCTAAGCAGGGTTTAGGGGCTTCTGGCGCGAAGACAAGGGGTAACAACTATAACGTTTGGAACAATCGTACAGCTATGGCCTTACCTCCTGATGTTTTTCTGATTTGCGGGGATAGGGCCTGGCAAGGTATCCCTGCAAATGCTATCGGAGGTCCATGTTACTTAGGTAAACTTACTATATTTGCTCCTAGCTTGTCACAGTTGTGTAAGATCAGCAGACATAAATGGGCATTGCTCACACCAGATTGCAATGATAATATTGAATTGCTTGGTGTTGCAGCTACAGCGGAACTGGCAATTTTCATGCCAGGAGTGGTATCTGCGGCTGCACCTAATAACTTAGAAAAATTGGTATGCTGGGCTGAGAAGCAAGGCCATGCCACGACAGAAATACTTGAGGAGATGTTACCAGATCAAAATAGTCTGCGACATGCGCTCTTACAGGATTGAGCTGCTATTGACTTCTTGCTCTTGGCTCAAGGGCATGGGTGTGAGGACTTTGAGGGAATGTGCTGTTTAAACCTTTCTGATCATAGTGAGTCAATTCACAAATCCATTACTTTCCTGAAAGAGCACATGAGAAATATTCAATATGATATCAATCCGTTCAATCAATGGCTCGCTGCTTTGTTTGGAACAATGCCTAGATGGTTACTGGGATTAATCAAAGAGGGATTAAGGATTCTGTTTATTGTGGTGTTAATCATCATTGCGTGTTGTATTGTAATAAATGTGGTTAAAAGGTTACATGCAAAACTGTTACATTGGGCTTGGTTTGCTCAAAAAGAAAAAGGGGGAATTGTTGAGGGATTTTTGAAACAGCAAGAGGCCATGACTTGCTGCAGCTGAGCAAACCAAGCTACCAGGACAACTACAAGAGGTTCCCATGACAATGTTCCCATATCGCCCGGTTGAGGAATTTAAAAAATATTGTTACCAGCAGCTGGCTTCAAGGACAAGATCTATGTGACTGCTAATCACAAGGAGGTTGTTTTCTTGCAGGTGGGGTTGTTTTCTTGCAGTTGTTTGTCTGAGTGCTTTTGACCGATAATCTTGTGTGAGACACTATCCACCCCTGTTAAGTTTTCTATAAAAGTCAGGCTATTTGGGTAATAAAGAGAGAGCATGATCTGACCATACTGGTGTCTGTTGTGTTTTCAGCCATTCTTCCTGCAACACAGCACTTACCCTTTTTGAATGTCATGCAATTGGATGTGGCCCATCGATCTAGCTTATCCAGATCCCTCTGAATAGCCTTCCTACCCTCAAGCAGATCAACACTTCCCCCCAACTTGGTATCATCCACAAACTTACTGAGGGTGCATTTAGTCTCCTCATCCAGATCATTTATAAAAATGTTAAACAAAACTGGCCCCAAGACTCAACTGAACTCCATTCACTATGACTCTTTGAGCCCAGCCATCCAGACAGTTCTTCAACCAGCAAAATGTACACAAGTCCAAGCCATAAGCAGCCACTTTCTTCAGGGGAATACTGTTGGAAACAGTGTCAAACACTTTATTAAAATCCAGTTTAACAGTATCCACAGCCTTTCCCTCATCTGCTAAGTGTGTCATTTGTCATAGAAAGAGATCAGGTTAATCAGGAAGGACCTGCTGTTCATAAACCCATGCTGGTTGCTTCTGATTGCTTGATTGTCCTGTATGTGATGTGTGATGACACTCAAGATGATCTGTTCCATGACCTTCTCTGGCACTGAGGTCAGACTGACAGGCCTGTAACTCCCCATATCCTCCTTCCTGCCCTTCTAGTAGATGGGTGTCACATTTGCTAACATCTAGTCAACAGGGACTTCCCTGGTTAGCCATGACCGCCAGTAAATTATTGAGAGTGGCTTGGTGAGCGCTTCTGTCATCTCCTTCAGTATGTTTAGATGAATCCCATCTAGCCCCATAGACTTTTGAACATTCAAGATATGTAGGTCACTCACTTTCCCATTGGATTATAGAGGTTTCATCTCACTCCCTGTCACCATCTTCCAGCTCCAGGGGGCTAATATCAGGTAAGAGAGAGAGAGCTCTATAATAAGCAGGAGGATGGATACTTGCAAATAAATCATAGTTCATTTGTATTTTGTACAAGATAATATGAATTTTATGGCAATCTATTCCTATGAGGGATGCTGGAAATCAGTGAGCCTCACAGTAATATTGCCTAAAATTTGTATCTCATTTAAGAATTAATTTTAGTACTTATGCACATATTGTCTTCCCGAACAAGTTGGTTTGTAACTCTAATATGTCATTTGTTTGTTTTACTTAAGGAATCAGCTGGAGGGGATATTCAGTCTCCTTTAACGCCAGAAAGTATTAACGGGACAGATGATGAGAGAGTGACACCAGAAGTGATGCAGAACTTGGACCCAAGGGCTGAACCAACCCAGAACGTATTGCCATTTACTCATAGGTACAGATTCCATTCCCACATACTGATTAAGTGATATCTATCTCCTTCCTTGTTAAAGTTCCTTCTTCCATATTGTGGCTTCTACCTAGCACAGTTAAGAATTTAATTATGTGACTTAAAAAAATAATAATACAGGACTGGCTTTCATATTTGCAATATAATATTTGTTACCCCCACCCCCCTTTGCCCCCTCCCCCCAAAAAAAAAATAGTACAAGGAAATCTCTTAGAATAAGATTTGGGGGTGGTGGTATGTGTTTTTTATAGTTTAATCAGCTCAGTGTGAGCACTTGAACACTGGTAACATTATTTCAGTGTCTGACATCTTAGTTACAGTAAGTGCTTCATAGAATATGCCAGTTAAATTATTTTTGCATGTTTTCTTTAAATGATAACATTGGATCGGCCTTTCAGTGATGAGTTGTGGAAAGAAAAGGGACTCTTACAACACTTCTGGATTATACAATTTAAAGAAATCTTTAAGTGAACAGTTCTCGGTTGAAAAGTTTTTTCAACTTTTTTTCAAAACATGAGAAATGTGCAGTTCTGCTTCAGACTGAATTATAATTTGGTGCACTGGGAATTTTGTACTGCATTGCTCTTTATGAAAACTAGGACTTTTTATTTAATCATACAAACCATGAACTAAGTTGGATATATCTTGCCTATTAGAAATTGTAAATGGGACACACTCAGTAACACACATTATGTACTAAGACTATGGAGAGCAACATAAATATTTAATAAACTTAGAGTAAAGCTATAAATACTATTTTTTAAATAATATGATCTTGATACAGTTTAAATAGTTTAAGAGCTCTTGATCAAAGGTTGGGGAACACTGGGACCTCGGATAGTTCATGCAAAGAATTCAGAATGAGCAGAGATGGAACTGGAATCCTTCAAGACTTTACATTTTTTGTAAGAGAATAATACTCTTAAATGTACCTGGAAAAAAATAATTTACATGTTCAAATGAGAAAAAGTTGATCCTTTTCATTATTTTTTTTAGAAGTGATTGTTTATTTTTATACTTCTACAGTTAGCAGTGCATCTATTATACATTTAAGAAGCGGTGCTTTGTAAGAGGACTATGTGCATGTTGACGGACTATTATAGATGCTGCACATCCATCAGTATTCTATAAAGAGTTCATTTAAACTTGTTTTTGTTTTAGAATTCTCAGTATTTTTGTGAAAAGTAGTTATGATAAAGTCCACACTCTAGTTGTTGTTTGTTTAAAAAAAAAAAAGATAGCTGCAAGATTTTCAAATTCTTTTTGCATATTTAAATTTGTTTTCTGGTATGCCAATGCATTAACTACACTTTGTTCATCATTTAGCATGACTGAAGATATTTTTGAAACTGCCCAGCTGTAATTTTGGATGGTGTAAAATATCGGTTACAAAACTTACATGTGTTGCATTTTTCTATCTACTTCATTTATCCAAAGTGAGTGCCTGGTCTTAGTTTATTGTCTGGTTATATACCACTAGCTAGAATAGGTCTTCTGACACTCTCTTTGTGTTTAGAGAGTCACTTCTTATGATGATTCTCAAAAGACCAGAGTTTTGTCTTGCGCATGGTAGCCTCAAGTTAGTGAGCTATAACTGAAGAAAATTCCATTTTTTAAAACCCTTTGAAATTAATTGAATTTTAGGCTACATAAGGTTTTTGTTATAAATAAATAAAAATGTATGTAGGCCACTCTTATTTATAGTGACAAGCTCAACTGAGGTCATTTATAAATTATTTATATATGTCCTGGTTTCAGTAAGAACAGAGTTAATTTTCTTCCTAGTAGCTGGTAGAATGCTATGTTTTGGCTTAGGATGAGAAGAGTGCTGATAACACCCCGATGTTTTAATTGCTGCAGAGCAGTGCTTATACCAAGCCAAGGACATCTCAGCTTCTTGCTCTGTCCTGCCAACGGGCAGGCTGGGGGTGCAGCAAGAGCTGGGAGGGGACAGACCCAGGACAGGTGACCCAAACTAGCCAAAGGGGGTATTCCATACCATCTGACGTCATGCTAAACAATATATAGGGGTGGCTAGCCGGGGGAGGGGGGCTGGACTGCTCGGGGTTAGGCTGGGCATCGGTCAGCGGGTGGTGAGCAATTGCATTGTGCATCACTTGTTTGTACACATTATTAGTAGTACTATTATCATCATTGTACTATTATTATTATTGTTATTATTATTTTTGTTATTATTATTTTCCTGTCTTATTAAACTGTCTTTATCTCAACTCACAGGCTTCACTTTCCATTTCTCTCCCCCGTCCCAGAGAGGGAGGGGGGAGGGTGAGCGAACGGCTGTGTGGTGTTTAGCTGTCAGCCGGGTTAAACCACGACAGTCTTTTTGGCACCCAACATGGGGCTCGAAAGGTTGAGATAACGGCAAATCTGACCAGAGTGTGTTAAACTAAAATTGGTATAAGTATTAGACCTGCTTAATAGTCACTTGTCATAATACTGATTGCTTTAATCTCAAGTCTGCTGCGCCTGTTTTCCAAATTGAGTATTATAGCACATTATTTTCCATATGTGCTCTCTGTCATGTTGTTTATCCTCTCCGGGCACTGTTTTCAGATCATTATGGTACTGTGTGTTGTAACAGTGGCTTATGAGACGATGAGATATCTGGTCATGACTCTATCTTGGTATTTGTACTCAGTAACATCGTCGACTCTATACTTTGGAAACCGTATCTCGGAAACTATTAGCAATTATACCTATTGTTTTTCTCCATTAGGGAGTCAATCTGTGGAGGGGAAAGGGGAAGATATTTTTTCTTACTTGATCACTCTCCCTTCCTCCTTCACCACCCTCTTATCCTCCGAGCTTGTTACAATAGCTCTCCAAGATATTGAATATCCTTGGGATACTCAGACCAGCATAGTCTTGTTGTTCTGCCTCCTGAATGCACTTCAGATCCTGCTTAAAGTTAAACAACTACTTAGGAAGCTCATCCGGAGATCTGCCCGGAGGCAGTATAGTTGTGGGTGGCAGGGAGTATGGGAGGATATGGGCAGGCATCTAGAGCAGTGGGCACCCCCAGTGTTTTGGAAATTCACCCCTGAACAACTGCAAAATCCTCAAAAACTGGCAGAATGTTTGAAAAAAAGGTGTCACGATTCTGGCAGTTCCAAAGTGACACAAATCATTGTAACATGCTGGGGCCTGGCTCATGCCTATCGAGCTGCCATGGATACTGCTATCAACTTAGTGACAGAGCCTGCGGCCACTCCAAGTCCCGTGACAGATCCAACGGCCACTGTGACCCCTACGGTGGACTCTGTAGCCGCTCCAGCTCCGGTTCCTGCAGCCACTCCAGTTCCAGTTCCTGCAACTGCTTCAGCTCCTGCAGCCACTCCAGCTCCTGTGGCTGGGTCAGAGAAATGAGCTGTAGCAGTGCAAGTTGCCCCTTCGGAGGGTATTCCAACCCCTGTGGCAGACCCTGTAGCTGGATCAGAGAAACGAGCTGTAGCAGTGCAAGTTGCCCCTGTAGAGAAGGTGAAAAAATGGTATAGAGATTCAGGTCGTTTAGAACGCAGAGAGTCTTCTGCCAAATCTAGGTATAGAGACGAAGATGCTGGGCCATCAAGGATTCAGGATGAGGAAGATGAGGATGCCGAAAAATCAACAGTAACTACCCGAAACCTATACGAGCGTGAGCTACGAGATGTGCGAAAAGATTTTGGTCGTTGTATAGGTGAGCAGCTTGTCACCTGGCTGCTCCGGTGCTGGGACACTGGAGCCAATTGTGTGGAATTAGAGGGCAGGGAAGCCAGACGACTGGGATCCCTTGCTAGAGACGCAGGCATTGACAAAGCAATTGCAGATGGAGCACAATCTAACAGCCTCTGGAGGCGTCTCCTCTCAGCTGTGAGGGAAAGGTATCCCTTCAAGGAAGAACTTTTATGTCTACCAGGCAAGTGGACCACTATGGAGAAGGGAATCCAGTACCTGAGGGAATTAGCCGTACGGGAAGTGATTTATGAGGATCCAGACCTCAGACAAACATCCACCGATCCAGATGAAGTCAGGTGTACACGACCCATGTGGCCGAAGTTTTTATGGAGTGCACCATCATCATATGCCAGCTCATTGGCAATAATGGCCTGGAAAGAGGATGAGGAACCCGCAGTGGATGAAGTGGCTAAACAACTCCGGCAGTACGAAGAAAGTCTCTCCTCTTCCTTACAGGCCTGCGTCTCAGCTGTGGAGAAACTTTCTGAAGAGTTCCACCAACTTAAAGAGAATCTATCTTCCTCCCCACATGAACCAACCAGTGTCCACCAACCAAAAGAGAACACTGTGGAGAAACTTTCTGAAAAGGTTCACCAACTTGAAGAGAGATTATTCTCCTCCGCACCTGTACCAAACAGTGTCTCAGCTATCAGGGGTAGGTGTTCATCCACACAAGGAAGATGATATGGTGGGTACTCACCCCATGCCACCCTGTGGTTTTACTTACGAGACCATGGAGAGAACATGAGAAAATGGGATGGAAAATCTACCGCGACCCTAGAGGCACGGGTACGTGAGTTGCAAAAGAAAACAATTGGGAAAAAGGGATTCTCTGAAAAGTTTGCTGCTCCAACTTCCAGCAGACAGTCCTTCAAACACAGAAACGAAGAAGATTCTGACCAGGATTAGGGGGGCCCTGCCTCCAGCCAGGGGGAGGAAAGGGAAAATCGAGTTTATTGGACTGTGTGAATTGTATGGCCTGGCACGTCACACGCACAGAAGTATAAGGCTTTAGTAGACACCGGTGCACAATGTACTGTAATGCCATCGAGCTATAAAGGGCCAGAGCCCATCTGTATTTGTGGAGTGACAGGGGGATCTCAGCAGTTGACTGTATTGGAGGTTGAAGTGAGTCTGACTGGGAATAAGTGGGAAAAGCACCGTATTGTGACTGGCCCGGATGCTCTGTGCATCCTTGGCATAGACTACCTTGCCTGGTCTCTCAGAGGACCCTTCTGTTGTGGGGTTGC